CAACTTAAGAAAATCCACTATCTCTTTGGGGCTCCTTCCGGCGCGCAGAGCAACGATGATGGCAGCTCGATTTTCAAATTCTCGGTTACTCTTCATCACTACACTGCGCACACATGTACTGTTGCATTTTCCATGAATATGGCTACGTAATAAAAAAAAACAGGTTTTTAATCTCAAGTAGTTTTTGTTTTATGGACTGTCAAAGTTAGTCCCAATTTACCTGGTACACCCTGTATATACTCCTGGACAAATCTTAATGAAGTTGTACCTTTTAGAATGCATATTGGGATTCAGACAATAACTCTGAAAGGTATTACAGTGACCTTTATTGAAGACACACGAGAGAACCAAGTGTGAACAAAATTGCCACTGTCTCCTTAAAAAAAAATAATAATAAAAATAAAACAGACGACCCGAGACCTCAGACTTTCCACTTCCTTAAGTTTTGTCTATGAATGTAAATTGAATGGAATTCGAAGATGGTGGATAATTTCATTTGATATGGGTTACGTTAAAGAGAGAGCACAAGATTTCACTATTCATTCTTTTTCTTTCTACACAAGTGTGAATCTCTCTCACACACATGCATTGATGTATATTAATAAATCCATATTATTTTATAAATATAATAACTGCTTTAATATTGGATCTAATAGACATTTTTTGAGGGAAGAATGTAACTCACGTGTGTACGTGATTTAGTTCAAAACGCAAACAATCTCGATGAAGAGAGACTAGATGTCCCTCGAAAAAATATTAAGACAATAATATTTAATTAAATGTAATATAAGAAGTTTTCAAATAAAATCAATAAAGCTTCCAGGGATAAGTTTCTTGTACTATTTTATTTCTCTAACTTTCGGCTAACAAGCCCTTCAATGGTAGCAACTAGAAGTATAACTTCTAGCTTCTGTGTACAGTATCTAGAAGTTATACTCCTAGTTGCTCTTGTTGAAGGGCTTGTTAAACCGAAAGCTAGATAAATTGAATTGTCAATGAACTTAGCCATGAATGCTTAACGATTTTATTAAGCCACAAGTCAGGGAAAGAACGTTCATTTTTATTAAGCAGTTATTATAACCATATAAAATTTGAAGGTGGTTAGAAAATCCGACCTATATACTAGGGAAATAATTTGCATATACATTACAAAAAATGAGATGAGAATATGTAAAGAGGACTATATGCAAATATACACCTGTAGGAGAAAATGAATGCTAGAAAGCATTTTCTACCGAGAGAATACATAAATAAAATAAATTCTTCGCCATCCTTTTCTCTATTTAAATTTCCAAAAGATGCCTTAATGTGTGATATTACTAAATTTAGTTCTAAATCCTAGCGTGTATGAACTTCTAATTACATTATAACGATAAGTATATTACAAAAATATCCACACACATTATATATCCTCTAATTATAAATTTGTTAAGGTAAATAAAAAACAACAACGTGGAGGCTTGGTTAATTTCTAGCTAACGTGCCAATTAAAACTCCCATAAATAATGACGTCACACGTGGAATTAACCAATCAATTGAGAGTTATTTAAGGGAGGTTTTAAATAACCAGAGGTGTAATAGAATAACCAACCGAACGACGGCCATTCATCAGAACGCCAACCATTTAGCACCCATTAAAGCCCATTATGACATTTATAATGTGGGGTTAGGTTATTTATAACAGAGGTCCATTTGTCAGGACAGCTATTAGCTAATGGCTGAACGATATATTTGAGAATCCCCCTGTAATATAGATCTCCCCGCTGTCTATCTGGATGTCTATCTTGTTTCTGTTCTGTCCTGAATGAGAACTGCTGTCTATAAGACATCTGGATGTCTATTATGTACTAAACGAGCAGAGCTGTCTATAGAGCTGCTATCTCTGGATGTCTATCTTGTGTCTGTTCTACAATGAACGAGCAGAGCTGTCCATAGAACTGCTACATCTGGATGTCTATCTTGTGTCTGTTCTGTAATAAACGAGCAGAGCTGTCTATAGAGCTGCTATCTCTGGATGTCTATCTTGTGTCTGTTCTACAATGAACGAGCAGAGCTGTCTATAGAGCTGCTATCTCTCGATGTCTATCTTGTGTCTGTTCTGTAATGAACGAGCAGAGCTGTCTATAGAGCTGCTACCTCTGGATGTCTATCTTGTGTCTGTTCTACAATGAACGAGCAGAGCTGTCTATAGAGCTGCTACCTCTGGATGTCTATCTTGTGTCTGTTCTGCAATAAACGAGCAGAGCTGTCTATAGAGCTGCTACCTCTGGATGTCTATCTTGTGTCTGTTCTACAATAAACGAGAAGAGCTGTCTATAGATCTGCTACCTCTGGATGTCTATCTTGTGTCTGTTCTGCAATAACCGAGAAGAGCTGTCTATAGAGCTGCTACCTCTGGATGTCTATCTTGTGTCTGTTCTGCAATAACCGAGAAGAGCTGTCTATAGAGCTGCTACTTCTGGATGTCTATCTTGTGTCTGTTCTGCAATAAACGAGCAGAGCTGTCTATAGGGCTGCTACCTCTTGATGTCTATCTTATGTCTGTTCTACAATGAACGAGCAGAGCTGTCTATAGAGCTGCTGCCTCTGGATGTCTATATTGTGTCTGTTCTACAATGAACGAGCAGAGCTCTCTATAGAGCTACTACCTCTGGATGTCTATCTTGTGTCGGTTCTGCAATAAACGAGCAGAGCTGTCTATAGAGCTGCTACCTCTGGATGTCTATCTTGTGTCTGTTCTGTACTAAACGAGCAGAGCTGTCTATAGAGCTGATACATCTGTATGTCTATCTTGTTTATTTTCTGTAATAAACGAACAGAGATGTCTATAAACCTGATACCTATGGATGTCTATCTTGTGGCTGTTCTGTGCTGAATGGGCTCAGCTGTCTATAAGACATCTGGATGTCTATTCTGTACTAAATGAGTTCAGCTGTGTATAGCGATGCTACCTCTGGATGTCTATCTTGTGTCTGTTCTGCAATGAACGAGCTCAGCTGTCTGTAGGGCATCTGAATGTCTATACTGTATTCTTCCGTGCTAAATGAGCTCAGATGTCCATAGGGCTGCTAAATCTGGATGTCTATCTTGTGTGTGTATTGTGCTGAATGAGATCAGCTGTCTATAGGGCATCTGAATGTCTATCTTCTGTTTTATGCTGAAAGAGAGCTCAGATGTCTATAGGGCTACTGGATTTCTTTCTAGGTAGCTCTCATCCTCTATCTTATACCGACCCGGCTCAGCTGTACATAGGGCTGGTAGGCCTCGAACCCTTTCTGGATGTCTTTATTGTTTCTATTCTCTGAATTTATCTATCTCAAGTTGTCTATAGGTTTGTTGGATATCTAACCTCTTCTAGATGTCTATCTCATCTTTGACCCATGCTTACCAATCTATAGGATTGCTGGATCTCTAACTCTTTCTTGCTTCTATCCTGTACTGTACCAGTTTAGGTATCCTCAGAGGCTGCTATATCTCCAACTATTTCTGGATGTCTCTAACCTTTACTGACCCATCTTATTTGGTTGATTGTAGGGCTGTTATGTAAATAACCCTTTATGCATATCTCCCTTATATCTATCCCGTACTGACCCAGATCAAAAGTGTATAGGGCAGCTAGATATTCAAACTTTACCAAATGCCTATCTTGCCAATTCCAATTGTTCCGAACCTTTTGAACCGCTCAAAGCATTTCATATTCACACCAATCCTGTATAAAAACATTTCAACACATATAGATATGTGATGAGTCCATAGTACAATTGACCCACAATTCTCTATGCACAAACCTGTGCATGTGTTGACATGTAATGCATTTACAGTACAAGTTGTCCTAATTCCCTACCCACAGCATTCTGCATGCCTAGACGGAGGGAAGGGGAGGGGGTGATAAACTGACAGTGAAAACTTTCACAACACTCTTCCCGTAGTTTTCTACACTTATAGACACGCAATATGGTTATAGGTTAGTCATAATCTTCTAGATACCATGATTATCATTTCCTGGTGTGCAAAATTGTGATAAAGAATGAATCAATACCTTATAACATGGTTTCTACTTAGCCATTCCGGTCTTGTTGAAGAATGTCTAGATCACGCGAGACTTCCTAGCAGGTCACGACACGACCTAGTCTTGGCTGCTTCTCCCATCGCAGAACTTTCTCTCTCTCTGGTACTTCACTGCGGTAGATATGGCACAACCCGACTGACTTCTGTAGAACTAAGAAGATATAACCATCTCTTTCGGATCCATAACAAGCAAAAGTGAGAAAATCAGTAATTTTTAATGAAAAGGAGAAAATAGCTTAATATAGTTCTAGAGTCACAAGATACGTCTTAATATGGATACAAGTGAGGAAATAAATTTTAACATACGAAAGAAACGTTTCATGAAAGAATAGAAAACAGCAATAATTTAGAAGGAGGCCTCACTCTATATTTGGACTGACACATATAGCCAGAAAAGAGAAATATCAACATAAGAAATTATTCTACAAATAATCCCAGGAAACCTGATATTTCACCTTAATATTGATTCAAGGTATCATTTTATAGAAAGGACATTCTAATATAGAACAAATGGGGTTACTTACACAATTTCTTAACTAGGCGCTATATTGAACATTTTCTGTGTGCCTATTTAGTGTTAAATAAACAAATACTTTCATAGTTTTTCAAATTAAAGATACTTCGGGTAGTAAATCTTTTTATTATAAAATAAATAAAGTTTCCAGGGCTAAGTTTCTTGTTCATATTTTTATTTTCAAGCTTTCGGACTTGTCAGTCCTTCAACAGGATTATCACGTTAATAAATTGATGATAAATACTATTTTTATATTAAAATTATTGTAAAACGACATTTGAAATACTATCCCGCATGTGTTTCTTTTCAACGAAATATCAAAATTTATTTCAAAGAGAAATAACGATTATTTCTAACCTTTTGGATGAGGTATGAAAGGATGAATTGTGAAGAGTAATGATAAACGGAAAAATAAAAGTGTCAAGGGATGGGAATCGAACCCACAGTGTTCCGCTTACCGGGCAGATGCCATGTCCACTATGCTCTACCCGGACATATTTTACAATTACAAGCCGCATTATATTATATTGTATAAAATTATTATTTACATATTTTATAATATTTTGCGATAATAAAAAGATTTACTGGCAGAGGTATCTTTAATTTGAAGAACAATGAATATACACTATGAAATATGAAGCCTCTCTCTTCACGATAAATAGTTTCATACCAGAAGCAAATTAAAAAAAACTTTAAATTTAACTCATTTGGTTTAATAGGGAGGGGAAAGTGCATTGCTCAAACGTTTAGCTGTCATTGATACAGAAACGTACACATTCCTGCTTTATCATTCTCCGAATGAAATTATTTCCAATTTTATAAAAAATGTCTATATTGATGTAATAAGGTAGGAAAACATCTAGGGTCTTTTTCCCATCAACCTGGGCTGCTGAACGTGAGGCTGTCTTAATAAGCTTCTCTTTCTGAGGACACGCGCTCACGAAATTCCCCGAAGATCAATTTAGGTTGATTGAGTCTTCATCAGGTTTAATCTCTTCGCTGATTAGACCTCCATGGCTCATCTCTTAGGAACACTTCCGGTTTCTCTTAAAAACGGTGGACAAGGTACAAGCACATCCATCTTGATGTTGATGGCCAATGTCGTCTCTTCACGTCGAGCTGGGCTGGATGGTAAACTGTCAAAGTTCCATCTGTATTTTCGTATATCCCTGGCATTACTATGTAAATTTATGTCTTATATGTATTATAAAAAGGATTGTAATATCTATATATAGGATTTGTACTTTATTTCGAAAAAAGACAAATTTTAAACATAATTATGTTATTTTTCGATGAAATTACCCTCTAAGATCGAGATATTCTATGAATTTTAGGGTTACCTACTGCATTTAATATAAATTATTATTGTATTTGAAATAATATACATTTATAAGAAATTTCAATTTTTATTTTTAGCCTCATTACATATCTCTGTTACAAGAAAGTTGGTTTTTAAACAATCCTACATTCTACTACTGAGGGCGAGAGTCAAGATAAAAGTGAAGAGCAGGTTAGACGGGTTTGTGAAACCTATATAAATTTAGCTGATTTTGAATCTAATTTTACTCATTATTTTGCGGGTGTTATTTTAAGCGATTGCTGAGGACGATATTGTAAATTACCTCTCATGTCAGAAGGAAAAATATTTTATTCCTATACACGTGAGAGGAAATTAAACATCTAGGGATTTTTTTCCAGAAATGTTATTTGAAAATCGGTGAGAACACTTCATAGGTGTGATCCAACATAACTACAAGGTATATTTGAATAAGACATTCTGATAGAATACTTCGGAAAGGCCTAAGGCCGCATTCCGGCGAGATGTGGGTGTAAAGTGCCAGGATTGCCAATTACAAGGAATGTCACACGTTTTATGTGGGAGATAAGGAGATGTGCTGTTGGATGGCTGTGCTGGTTTCACAAGTCACACTGGTCTCTTCGTATCCAACATTCCACGTCACACTGGTCTCTTTGTATCCAACATTCCACTTCACACTGGTCTCTTCTTATCCAACATTCAACGTCACACTGTCTCTTCGTATCCAACATTCCACGTCACACTGGTCTCTTCTTATCCAACATTCCACGTCACACTGGTCTCTTCGTATCCAACATTCCACGTCACACTGGTCTCTTTGTATCCAACATTCCACGTCACACTGGTCTCTTCTTATCCAACATTCCACGTCACACTGGTCTCTTTGTATCCAACATTCCACGTCACACTGGTCTCTTTGTATCCAACATTCCACGTCACACTGGTCTCTTCTTATCCAATATTCAACGTCACACTGTCTCTTCGTATCCAACATTCCATTTCACACTGGTCTCTTTGTATCCAACATTCCACGTCACACTGCTCTCTTTGTATCCAACATTTCACGTCACACTGGTCTCTTCGAATCCAACATTCCACATCACACTATCTCTTTGTATCCAACATTCCACGTCACACTGGTCTCTTTGTATCCAACATTCCACGTCACACTGTCTCTTCGAATCCAACATTCCACATCACACTATCTCTTTGTATCCAACATTCCACGTCACACTGGTCTCTTCTTATCCAATATTCAACGTCACACTGTCTCTTCGTATCCAACATTCCACGTCACACTGGTCTCTTCGTATCCAACATTCCACATCACACTGATCTCTTCATATCCAACATTCAACGTCACACTGTCTCTTCGTATCCAACATTCCACATCACACTGGTCTTTTCGTATCCAACATTCCACGTTACACTGGTCTCTTTGTATCCAACATTTCACATCACACTATCTCTTTGTATCCAACATTCCACGTCACACTGGTCTCTTCGTATCCAACATTCCATGTCACACTCTCTCTTCGTATCCAAAATTCCACATAACACTGGTCTTTTCGTATCCAACATTCCACATCACACTGGTCTCTTTGTATCCAACATTCCACGTCAAACTGGTCTCTTCGTATCCAACATTCCACGTCACACTGGTCTCTTTGTATCCAACATTCCACGTCACACTGGTCTCTTCTTATCCAACATTCCACGTCACACTGGTCTCTTCTTATCCAACATTCCACGTCACACTGTCTCTTTGTATTCAACATTCCACGTCACACTGGTCTCTTTGTATCCAACATTCCACGTCACACTGGTCTCTTCTTATCCAACATTCCACGTCACACTGGTCTCTTCTTATCCAACATTCCACGTCATACTGTCTCTTTGTATCCAACATTCCACATCACACTGGTCTCTTTGTATCCAACATTCCACGTCAAACTGGTCTCTTCGTATCCAACATTCCACGTCACACTGGTCTCTTTGTATCCAACATTCCACGTCACACTGGTCTCTTCTTATCCAACATTCCACGTCACACTGGTCTCTTCTTATCCAACATTCCACGTCACACTGTCTCTTTGTATTCAACATTCCACGTCACACTGGTCTCTTTGTATCCAACATTCCACGTCACACTGGTCTCTTTGTATCCAACATTCCACGTCACACTGGTCTCTTCGTATCCAACATTCCACGTCACACTGGTCTCTTTGTATTCAACATTCCACGTCACACTGGTCTCTTTGTATCCAACATTCCACGTCACACTGGTCTCTTCGTATCCAACATTCCACGTCACACTGGTCTCTTCGTATCCAACATTCCACGTCACACTGGTCTCTTTGTATTCAACATTCCACGTCACACTGGTCTCTTCGTATCCAACATTCAACGTCACACTGGTCTCTTTGTATTCAACATTCCACGTCACACTGGTGTCTTTATATCCAACATTCCACGTCACACTGGTCTCTTCGTATCCAACATTCCACGTCACACTGGTCTCTTCGTATCCAACATTCCACGTCACACTGGTCTCTTTGTATCCAACATTCCACGTCACACTGGTCTCTTCGTATCCAACATTCCACGTCACACTGGTCTCTTCGTATCCAACATTCCACGTCACACTGGTCTCTTTGTATCCAACATTCCACGTCACACTGGTCTCTTCGTATCCAACATTCCACGTTACACTGGTCTCTTTGTATTCAACATTCCACGTCACACTGGTCTCTTTGTATCTAACATTCCACGTCACACTGGTCTCTTTGTATCCAACATTCCACGTCACACTGGTCTCTTCGTATCCAACATTCCACGTCACACTGGTCTCTTTGTATCCAACATTTCACGTCACACTGGTCTCTTCGTATCCAACATTCCACGTCACACTGGTCTCTTCGTATCCAACATTCCACGTCACACTGGTTTCTTCGTATCCAACATTCCACGTCACACTGGTCTCTTCGTATCCAAAATTCCACGTCATACCGGTTCTCTTCGATTCCAATATTCCATTTCACACTGGTCTCTTCAAATCCAGCATACCACGTTACTGGTCTCTTCGTATCCAACATTCCACCTCAAACTGATATTTTCGAATCCACATTCCACATGACTCCAGCCTTCTCTGATTCAACATTCCACTCCTAAAATATGAAGCCGGGGGTCACGCTGGTGAACTCAGGTAACAAGGATGGACCCTGAGAATTCAGAATAGCGCCCGAGGCACCCATGTTGGAAATGGACGAGCGTCGGTTATGCAATCAGTTAATTGAAGGTTTCCGCAAATCGAAGGCAGCATGCACACCTCTCTCTCTGTCCGTCGGGCGGTCGCAAGTACCAGGAGGTACTGTCACTGTGGCCGACGTCTATAGCTATCGAGAGGTGGTTCATAATAGAATGGTGGTTCTCTGAACAATGTTAGGTTATAGATTTGATATACAGTCTTTGGTAGTTTTATATATAATTATATTTATTTACATAGAGTCCTCTCTTTCAGCTCCTACGGCACAATTTTGAATTTAAACTTCTTTTAAAATCCTTTTATTTTCTATAAATAATTCTTTTAAATCGTTATTATTTTGTATTAGAAACTTTCTTCTATATATGTAGTGATGGGGAAAATATTCTGCTGTAAAATATTGTCTGAGAGAGGTTTACATTTGATAACACCTATAGTTGATATTAGATCAGATACCGGCAGATTCAAAACTAAAAAGATTAGGTATTTGAGAATGCTAAATACAAATCTTTTATCTAAAATATAATCTGTAATAAGACTAATTATGCAAGAATTGATACCGTTATAGTGCGATTTATTTTATAAATAAAACATATTTTCATATACACTGTCTTTACTGCGATGAAGAATATATTGATGGTGAACCTTCTAAGCAGTTTTCACAATTCAATCCATCAAACAGTGCATGCATTAAATTCGATATTGGACTATTCTGATTTTATTTCCGACACTAGAAAGTAATTCTTGGTCAAAGTATTTAAGGAATCTAGGAACATAAGCTTTGAGGAGAGTAGAAATTACTATAAATAGTTTCATTGAACATTGCTCTTCCACAATTTCCAAAAGGCCATTTTGGCATAATTTCACCAGAAGGTATTAGCGCGCTTTGGGAACGAATTCTTTGAAGCCTAAAC